CACCCGATGACGTCGCGCTGCTTGAAGCAGCGCGAGCCCGACTCCCACGCCAAGAAGATCGCCTTCTCCCCCGCCTTGTTGCGCTCGCCTGGCTTGGACTCCGCGAGCGCGGTGGGCAGCGGCCTCGCTTCCCTGCCCGCCATGCGCGGGGCGTGCTCGCCATTGCCCGTGCAGAAGCCCGCCTTGGCGGACTCGATGCCCACGGCCTTCTGCTTCAGCGACGCGGCGATCTGCGCGACCTCCTGCTCAGTGACGGCCTGGCCCGACCTCGAGACCTTCGGCGGGGTCGAGGAGCTCCTGTTGGGGGGAGCGCGGGGGGGGGGCACTCCTCTCGCGGCCACGTGTAAGTTTTTTGCTGGCCTCATGGGCCCTAATCGGCCCTCCTCCTCCTCCTCCTCCTCCTCCTCCTCCTCCTCCTCCTGCAGCCTCGCCTATGCCGAGCTTCGTGCCCTCCTCCTCCTCCTCCTCTTCTTCATCCTCTCTCTGCGTTTATTCCTCCTCCTCTTCCCCCCCAATCCTCCGCATCCTCCTCCTCCTCCTCCTCCTCGCCGCCCACCCGCGATGCTCCTGCGCCCCTGGGGCTTCGGCGTGGGATCGACGACGGACCTCGGCGTGCTAGACCTGCTTGGCCTTGAGAGCACTGATGCCAAGCGCCTGGAGGCAGAGTGCGACTCGCTCCTCTTGCCGGCAGCCACCCGCGGCCCCTGCTCCTGCTGCTTGCTCACGAAGGCCAGCAGCGCCGCGATGTCGCTCTTCGTCACGCTCACCTCGCCATCGCCGTCGCCCGACGACTTGCTCTTCAACTGCGCCAGCAAGCCGAGCACGTCGCCGCGGGCGCCACTATCAGCGCGCCCCTCACGGTCACCAGCGCGCCCGTCACGTCCACGGCTATTGTCAGCAGCACGCTCGTCACGACCACGCTTGTCACGGTTGCCAGCACGCTCGTCACGGCCACCACCGCGGCTGTGGTCGCCAGCACGCTGGTCACGGTCACGGCTGTGGTCGCCAGCACGCTCGTCACGGTCACCACCGCGGCTGTGGTCGCCAGCACGCTGGTCACGGTCACGGCTGTGGTCGCCAGCACGCTCGTCACGGTCACGGCTGTGGTCGCCAGCACGCTCGTCACGGTCACGGCTGTGGTCGCCAGCACGCTCGTCACGGTCACGGCTGCGGTCGCCAGCGCGCTCGTCACCGTCACGGTCACCAGCACGCTCGTCACGGTCACGCCCACGGCGGCGGCCAGCACGCTCGTCACGGTCATGTCCACGGCGGCCCTCGCGCCGCCTGTGGCGGCTGCGGCTCCTCCGCCGCGGCGGGCTGCCCATCTCGATGCTGGCGTCCGCGTCCGCCTCGCATGGAGGCGGGCGGGGGGGGGGCCCTCCCCCTCCCCCCCTCCTATCCTCAGTCCTCCTCCTCCTCCTCCATCTTACGCCCATCCTCCTCCCGCTCCTCATCCTCTACTTGCCGATACTGCCTCCGCTGCATTGCGTCTTGGCTGATCGAGCATGGCCAAGGTCTCCAGAACGCCCAGGGAGGTTCGGCCAGCAGGGGCAGCAAACTGGGGGTCGCGGGATCTCAAGTAAAGGGAACGGGGCCGAGGAGCAGGGGACGAGCAACCCTTCTAGCCCTGCCCACCCCCCTCCACTCCTTCCCCTCCCCCTCTCCCTTCCCCCATTCCCCCCTCCCTCTCCCCCCCCTTCCCCTTCTCCTGAGGCCTGGTGCTTCTCGGACCCCGACGCCGCCGCCTGCTCCTGGCTGTCCAGGACCTTGCCCAGCCGCTCCGCCTGGCAGCGCGAGAGGCAGATGAGGGCGAGGGGTCGAGGATAATTCAGAGGAGGAGGACGACGACGACGAGGAGGACGGACAAGGAGGAGGAGGAGGAGGAGGAGGAGGAGGAGGAGGAGGTAGGTCAAGCGGACGATGAGGAGGCCTCGTCACGCTGATCCTGCGCCTCCTTCTCGTCGACCCTGCGGATGGCCTCCAGTGTCTCGCCAAACTCCTCGCGCATCGCGGGGGTGAGCTTGGACATGTCGAATCCTCCTGTGGACGTTTGCTCCGAAGGCGACGGCGACGACGGGCGCGACGACGACGACGAATCCCAGGTACCACAGTTGCTTGCTTGCTTGCGTCGCTCTCCACCCTGATCCTACTTGCCCTCCTCACCCTATCCCCCGTCCCCCTTACCCCTCCTTCCAAGGCCCCTCATTTCCCTTGTCCTACCCCCTCCTTCCCTCCTCATTCGGCCATGCCCCATGGAAGCGAGTCCTGGGCCCACGTGGTCACCCTCAGACGGCACGCTGTCGGAGCCCACGGTGATAGCGGCTGGGGACATGCGTGCCTTCATGGTCGCAGCAGTGTCCGATTCGATGCCATCAGGGAGGGGCTGCGAAGGGCCTGGAAGGCGGAACGGGCTCCGACTCCTGACGCGGGGGCTCCGTGGGTTGGAGCGGCCCCGACTGCCACGCGGGCTCGGGGAGCGTGAAGCCCCTCGCCCCTTGCTCCGACCGCCCCGCGGGCTCGGGGAGCGCGGAGCCCCCCCCTCGTTCCGACCACCACGCGGGCTCGGGGAGCGCAAAGCCGCCCCCTCGCTCCGACCACCACGCGGGCTCGGGGAGCGCAAAGCCGCCCCCTCGCCCCCACCGCCGCGCGGGCTCGGGGAGCGCGACCTTCGCCCCTCGGGAATGCTCGAGGTGACCGAGGGCTGCCGCGACATCGCTCCGCTGCACCTGTTCCCTCAGGGGCCGCTGTCACCGAGAAGATTGCTCGACGTTGCACGGCTATGAGGTTTGGAGGCGGGGCGGGATAGGGCAGGGTGGGCCACAGATGGGGCCGGCACGGGCCATGGCGGGACACGACGGGGCAGATGCCGGCAAGGCGATGGGAGTTGAAGGAAGGGGCGAACAGGAGAGGTAGGAAGAGGGATATGAGCGAGGGGGAGGAGGGGCGGAGAGGAAACGGGGAAGGAAGGGCGATGAGGGGGACTTCCTTGCCATTTCTGACCCTGCAGCTTCGAAGCTTGCAACAGTTACACGGACGGAGCGGGGCCGTTTTCAAAATGGAGCCACCAGGGATCGAGCGGAAGTGCATTTCACCTCCGCGCCACTTCGCTCCGCGCTCGGCTCCCCCGCGTGCGGCCCCGCCACTCAGGCGCACCCCTGCGCGCTGCTCTTCCTCAGCAGACTCATGTACAAGGACTGCCCGCTCGGTGGGGGGATCTGCTCTGGCACCTTGTTCTTCTTCTTTGCCTGCTCCTCATCTCCATCTTCTTCCTCTGACTCCTCGTTTTCCTCCTCTTCCTCCTCCTCCTCCTCTTCAGCCTCCTCTTCGTCTTCCTCTGCCTCTTCCTCCTCCTCCTCCTCTTCCTCGTCGTCGGGCTCCTGCCTACCAGCTGGCTTCTTCGCCGCTGCGGGCCTGTGGAGCACGGCGGGCCTTTTCATCGGAGCCTTCGCTTTAGGCTTGGCGGCGGGCCTCTTTGCCACTGCGGGCCCCTCCTCTTCCTCGTCCTCATCTTCCTCCTCATCTTCGTTCCCCGCGCTGGCGGCGGGCTTCTTGGCCACTTCAGGCCCCTCCTGCTCCTCCTCCTCCTCCTCCTCCTCGTCCCTTTCGCCATCTTCCTCCTCTTCACCTCCCTCCTCCTCCTCCTCATCATCATCTTTATTCTCTCCTGGGGCCGCGCTTTCGTCGCCATCTTTCTCGCCGTCATCTGCTTTTGCTGGTCTCCGTAAGGCGGCCGCGGCCTTTCCCACCTTTTTCAAGTACGCCTCGACCCCCTTATCGCGCTCTGCCGTCAGCTGCCTGTGAGCCAGCTCTTTATTCACGTACTGCTTTGCTAGCTTTATCATTAGTTGCTTTGCGAACTCTACGTCGTTGCTGCAGGACTTGTAAGTGATCTGAAGCTTCTGGCCACCAGCACTCGTACCCTCTTTGATGACCAATCCATCTGCGATTGACTTGTCGGCCTCGGTGGAGAGCTTCTTATACATCACCCGCGCAATTTTGCCGTCGAGCTCGCCCGTCCAGTACGCGCCAGCCCTCGCCGCGGCCTTGCCAGCACCAGAGGTCCCAGAGGTCCGCTGGCCACCTTGATTTTCCCACGAGTGCACCGTGAGAGTGGGAATCTCGTGCTCTGCATCACTGCCCGCAAACTTGCAGAACATCCATGCGTGGTGATCTTTTCTGAATATGTCGTGGGTGGTCACGATCTTGCCAGACTGTCTACCAGACGTTCGGCATGTCTTGGTGGCAACTTTGTCATCAGGGTTGTAACCGATGTCGAAGTCCAGCTCGACGGGCCTACGTGGTGTCTCTTCTCTGGATTTGGTTATCTTCCGCCTCCGCTTTCGGCTGGACCTACGGCTCGAATCATCATCTGACGCGGGCGACCTCCTAGCTTTCTCTCCACTCTCTTTCCTCGAGTCTTTTTCATCTCTATGGTGTTCGCCTGTTCTGTGGTCTTTTCTGGCTTTATCACCTCTGCTGTCATCGCGCTCTCTCCTGGGGCCCACCTCCATGCCGATCGCTTTCTGTTTCTCTCTCAACTCAGTCATCCAGGCAGGAACCTTGTCGCCGATTTTCCCTTTACGGTACGCGTCGTAGACGTGCCGGCACATGGAGCGGAGCCTGGGCCGTATTTTTTTTTTCTCTCTCTCTCTCTCTCTCTCTCTCTCTCTCTCTCTCTCTCTCTCTCTCTCGCCCCGTTCCGCTCCAGACATCCTCAACCTCCTCCGTTCCACTCCAGACCTCCGTAACCTCCTCTAACCTCCTCCCTCCATCCGATCCGCTCCTCCACTCCCGACCCCCTCAACCTCCTCCGTGTCCGCCCTGGCCGCCCGAATCCCCAGGAGGACGGAGGGCTACGTGCTCACAGGCGCCGCGGGCCCGCCGGGAGGGGGGGCGGGGAATCAGGATACGAATGGAAGAGTTCTCCCCGCCCACCTCGCACTGTTGCTCGTTGCCCATGACTGCTGGGCTGCCTCATCCATCCCGCCCCATGCTGAAGCCTTCTTCTTCACGATCGATGTGAACGCCAGCGTAGCAGCCTGCTCGCTGATGGACATGTTGGGGGCAATCTTCTCGAGGCGGCCGAGCATCTCGCAACGGGCGGGAGGGGGGAGGCGCGCCAGCATCGCCGCCGTCGCAATGACGACCACCACCATCGTCATCGTCGTCGCCATCGTCGTCACCGCTGCCAACGGCATCATCACTACCACCACCACTACCAGCATCATCGTCGTCGTCCTCATCATCGCTATCGTCAACGTCGTCAGCGTAACCATGACTGACCAGAATCTCACGGTGGATCCAGCCGTGGCCACGAGAGCGCCCTCAGGAGGCCAAAACAAAAAATACCTTCGAAACCCGATCGAATCTCAAAGTTCAAACTCGACGACGACAGCGGCGGCGGCGACGACGACCGACGCCTGGAAGTGGTGGACGACCTCCTCCTTGCACCTGGCCGTGAACTGGTCTTTGCCAGGCGCAATTCCGTAGGTCAGGAAGTGCTCTTTGTTCACGCTCTGGATGATCGCCGCCTCCAGCGCCACGGGGTCGCTAGGAGCGGATTTTGACCAACCCCATCCTGTCAGGTTCGAGGCGAGCGTGCTGCCACTGCAATGGCCGCTAATGGGTGGCGTCGAAGAAGAGAGGGCGGGGAATACATAAGTTTTTCGAGCTGCGCCCAGCCGTGGCGAGGGGGGCCCCCGATGGCCACAATGCCTCGATCCTCGAAGTTCGAGGCCGTTGTTCCTCGCGAGGCCCTCTGCTACACCGCGCCCTTGCCATCCCATCCCTCCTGCCCTTCCATCCGATCACTCCTAGCCCTTTCATCCCATGCCTCCTATCCTCCCTACCCTCCACAACCCTTACCCCGACAAAAAAAATATCCTGCAGCTCTCTCTTGTCGCCGCCCTCTCGCTGCTGCCCGACGCCGCTCGCGACGACGCCATGCCCGCAGGCCGGCAACGCGGCCAGCACCGCGGCGGCCGAGGGCGCCGCGGCCACGCTCCAGCCGAGCTGCGGCTCCAGCACGGGCGCGGATGGCACGCGCGCACGGGCGCGAGCATGCACGCGCGCGCGCCCCAAGGCCCGAGAGGGTCCACCCCAGGCCCCAGGAAGGGTCCGCAGACCACCCCAGGCCCCATGAGGGGCCCGACACGGCACCCCCGATCCCCAGACGGCAGACCCGCCACGGCCCCCAAACTCCCAACCGAAAGCCCCAGACCCGAGACGCACGCGCGCGCAGGGACTCCATGGGACCTCAAGGGGAGGAAGGGCGACCCAAGCCGAGACCTGCCTTGAGGGGCGGGGGTCCCAAGGTAGCCAGAAGAACTGAAAATCAGCTAAAAGCGAGCGAAGCGAAAGGCATGACATAGCACGGCGTAGCATGGCAGAGTCGCGCCGCGTAGCATTGCACTGGCATGGCATAGCACCATACATATGTGAGAACGCATAACGTACAACATCACTAACTCTTACTATATTTACTTAATTTAAACTATGCTATACACATGTTGTATCTGCTACATATTTATTGTTTTTTTTAAACAAAAATGATAGATGCCCCGTAATACACATGCACTACACACACTACATATACTATATGGATTATATATATACTATAATATTTATTTATATATATGTAATATATATATAGTGTACACTATTTATACAATACATGTACACTATATACACAGTATAATAGGCAATATGCAGATTATATACAATATGTATTACATAGACTAGATATATGCTATACCTTTATTATTATATATACATACATATTCCATGCATTACATATACTATACATACTATATATATACTATTCGTACTATATACATACTCTTATACTATGTATTCACTATCGTACTATTGTATATAGTCTGTATAATGTATCATGTATCGCCGGAGCGGTGCGCAAGCTTTGCGCATAGGACTTCGAGTCCTATAGAAGCAGCCAATGGCTGCGTAAGCAGCCAGCGGCCGAAGTCCTACATCATAAGACTCCAGGCCTGTGCAAGACTTGAAGTGTTATCCGAAGGCGCGGAGGACCTCTGGGTAAGGGTAGGCCGGGGCAGCAGCTGGAGCGAGCGGCCGGGGGCGGGGGCCCAGCGGCAATGGAGACGGAAACTCAGCGTACAGTCAAGTCGTGGAATAAGGATGCGCGATAAGGACGCAAGGACCTTGGGCGCCCATTTTGCAGCTTTTCGAGCGGGGCGCGGCCAACGAGAGCGGCCAAGGATGGGCCGAAGGGCAAGGATGCAAGGGTACCCTTGGGAAGGTTGCCCATCCTTACTATGCGGGTTGACTGTAGCAATGCCCAGGGAGCCGAGGTCAGGAGACCTGCGAGGCGCCCGGAAGAGACGGGCAGAAGGGCGGGCACCCCGGTCGAGGCGACCGGAAGCCAGGCGGGCATACAGAATGGGCACGACGCAGGAGAGTCAGCCCGTGGGAGAAGGGGCCTCAGCCACGTACCGAGGCTGCCGAGGTCGCGGCTGACCTGCAAGGCACCCTGGACACACATACACATACACACACACACACGCAAACTCGGCAAGAGCAAACAGTGATGACTTGCAACACATGTGACGCAATCTAGGTTGAGCAATCAGTGTGTCAATGTGGTGCAATCGAGGTGGTGCACTCCATGTGGTGCAACGCAATGCGAAACAACGCAGAGCAATGCAAGACAATGCGAAGCAATGCACAGCAATGTAGAGCGAAGCACAGTGATGCAAACCAATGCAATGCGATACAAATCAATGCAACGCGAGACACAACAGTGCTACGCAATGCCACGCAAAACAATGCAAGGCAATGAACCGTAATGTAAAGCAATACCAGTGCAAATCAGTGCAAGTAAATGCAAACAAATGATGCAACACAATGCAACGAATGGCGGCGACGGGCGGCCAAAAGCCGGCTGGACCGACACAAGGGCCAAGGCAAGAAATGGCGTCGGACGGCGGCGACGGACGCCGGCGACGGACGGCTGCAAGTCGACGGAACTGGCAACCAAGCAGAGTTCCGACGGAGACAAATAAGAACCCCGGAGTGCAAGCACTTTTGGGGGAATGCTGGGTCAACTGTTTGGTGAGGCGAAGGAGGATACACGGCAGGCCAGCAAGGAAGCATCGAGTGAAGGTGCCCAGACACAGACATACACTCACACGAACAACTCTTGCATCGCGCGCGCGTTCAGCCGAGCGCCCCAAGCCAACCCTGCCAAACCGCCCAGCGAACGAGGTCAACGTTATGATTCAACACGCCTGTCATCGAGTCATGCACGTCAGCGGCTATAAGTGACTGCCCGAAAAGCATAGCCCCTCCTGAACCAAATAGGTTCTTCATTCCATCGTCTCCATGTCTTTGTCTGGCTCACGCACTACCGCCGTCCTCCGACTCCGACCACTGGGCGGCGAGCTCGCCGCGCCAAGCGGCGACGCTAAGCGTGGTGCCCAGCATCGCCGGCACTATCACCACCAACGCGGGGATGCCCTGAACTCCCAGGGCGGGGCCGAGGACCTCGCAGCCCGCGCAGCCCGCCGCGTAGCCGGCCAGAGCCGCGGGGAAGTAGGCTGGCGAGGTGCCTCCGGCCTCTGACCGCTGGTCCGCGCGCAGGGCCCACCCCGCCAGCGCCGCTGGGAACGCGACGTCCGCCAGCCCGAGGATGTCGGTGAGGCGGCCGTTCAGCACCACCTCCAGCAGCCCTGGCCGCCAGGAAGGCAGGGCGCCTGCCGAGCCCACGGCGCCGGCCTTGGCCAGGGCGATCTGCGCCATGGGGCCCGTCGCCAGAGAAGCTGTGGAGGCCGCCGACGATGCGGCGCCGCCGACGCCGAGGGCACCCTGCGCCTTCGCGAGGAGTAGGGGACCCAGCGTGCCGAGCAGGTCGTACAGGGCGATCCCGCCGAGCGCCGCGGACAGCACAGACAGCTGCGGCAACGCGGCGCCGCGTGCGAAAGTTACCGCGGCGCACGCGTTCACTATGTTTTAAGTCTGGCCTGTCCCCCTACAGGGGGATTTTCGACGAAAAAGAAAAATACTCCTCCTCCTCCTCCTCCTCCTCCTCCTCCTCCTCCAACTCCTCCTTGTCCCGCCACCCCCCTGTCCTACTCCAACTCCCCTCCTCCTCCTCCTCCTCCTCCTCCTCCTCCTCCTCCTCCTCCTCATCCTCCATCTCCTCTTCCTCCTCCTCCTCCTCCTCCTCCTCCTCCTCCAACTCCTCCTCCACCTCCTCCTCCTCCTCCCCTCCCTTCCTCCTCCGCCTCCTCCTCCCTCCTCTTCCTCCTCCTCCTCCCCCCTCCCCCCCTCCTCCCCCCTCCTGCTCCGACCTCCAACTCCACGCTCCTCCTCCCCTCCTCCTCCTCCTCCTCCTCCTCTCCTCATCCTCCTCATCCCTCCTCCTCCTCCTCCTCCTCCCTCCTCCTCCTGCTCCTCCTCCTCTCCTCCTCCTCGTCCTGCTCCTCCTCCTTCTCCTCCTCCTCCTCCTCCTCCTCCTCCTCCTCCTCCTCCCCCTCCTCCTCCTCTTCCGCCTCCTCCTCATCTTCCACGGCCTCGTCTCCGCCCACTTCGTCGCCGACGTCGTAGTCCTGTTCAGGGTCGGTTGCACCGCCCGTCAGGCCTTCGCAATATTGAAAAATATACCCAAATGGTCAAACAGTACTCAAACAAATCGTCCCATATTATTTTTACTATTTCTGAACATTCCTCCTGTCGAGGGACGGGCCCGACTTAAACTATGTTCTGCGCCGGCCACGCGGACTCCACGGGCAGGGTGAAGCACAGGAAGGTCAGTCCCGACGCCAGCGCCAGCGCCACCAGGTCTCGCGGCCCCCGCTCTGCTGGCCAGGGCACCAGGGCCGCCAGCGCCTCCGAGGCCTCGGCCTTAACAGCGAGGACGCAAAAGAGGGCATTCGAGAGGAGGGTCAGCCCAGAGAGCAAGAAGCCGGCCGACGACAAGAGCGACTGCGACTGCTCGCCGGTGGCGGTCAGATCCGCCAGCCCCACGGAGGCCGCCAGCGCCAGGGACAGCAGGATCGGCAAGCCAGCGGCCTGAGCCTCGCCGCTGGCCTGGTCCAGCTCCCGCAGCTCCGCAGCGGCGGCTCGCTCGGTGGGCTGCACCTCCCCGACGCGCAGGAGCTCCTCCGTGAGAAGCCCCAGCCGCGTGCCCAGCCCACTGGGCAACCCCGTCGAACGTCTGGCCGCGACGAGGACGGCGAGCATCGCAAGCCCGTAGATGTAGAGCCTCTTCGCGGCGACCAAGGCCAGGCACGCGTTCAGCCCCTGGCTGCGGCACGCGGCCACCCCGGCCGGGAACCCGAACCACCCTATCGCTGGCAAGGCCACGAACAGCGCGAAGTACTCCATCCGCAGCGTCGCTGCCCGACGCTGGTCCTCCTCAGGTGCACCGCCCAAGGCAGCCCTGACTGCAGCCGATGCGGCTCCGGCTGGGCGCCGGCGGGCCGCGGCCCGCCGGCGCCGCGCCAGCGCCGCGGCGGCCGCGGAGGCACTCCAGGCGGCACCAGCCCTGGCGTGCCGCGGCCGTGAAGGCGTCCCGCGCGGGGCTGAGCCTTGCCGTCGCTCGGACCTCCGTTCCCCGTGCATTTTTCGGTTTTGTGCATGTTTGTCTTGCTCGATGATCCGGGATGCTCTTCGATGGTCTTCGCCGAGAAAAAATGCACACGTCCGAACGATGCCAAGGTGCAGGCGTGCCGCGCGGGGCTGAGCGGTCACAGCGCGAGCACGGCGCGAGCCTGGGCCTCCAGGCAGCGCTGGCTCTCCAGGCCGCGCTGGTCGGCGGCGGCGGCCAGCACCGCGAGGAGGCGGGCGCTCCGGCGCCTCCACCGCGGGGCGCAGCAGGCGCGGCGCGGCGCGCGGGCCGAGACCTCGCCAGGCTCACCAGACCGTGCGCTCGCCAGGTCGCCTCGAGCCCTCCGAGGGACCCCATCGTCAGGGAGGAGGCGAGCCGCTGGGATAGAGGCCTTCGAGATGGTATCCGAGTAGATGGGGTCGGCGGATCGCTCAGTATCGCTGGTGCATCGGCGATGCGTCGGCGACGTCGACGTGAAGGAAATCGGGATCCACATCGATCCGTATCGCCGATACATCGGCGATGCGGCGCGATCCTAGCTTCGACCCCACCTACTCTGACCCCATCTGGGGGGCCCTGTGGGACGGAGCGGCGGGACCTGGCTCCCGACCCTGTGCGACCAGGGATTTTGAGCCAAAGCGTTCTTTTCGGCGGCGGCCAGGGCAGTCGGAGCAACTGTGGCCGAGTGGGGTCCACCAGGACTGATCAGGAACACCTCGGGCGGCCTGGAGGAGGAGGAGGAGGAGGAGGAGGAGGAGGAGGAGGAGGAGGAGGAGGAGGAGGAGGAGGAGGAGGAGGAGGAGGAGGAGGAGGGGGAGGAGGAGGGGGAGGGGAAACTGTGGCCGACTGTGGCCAACTGGGGCAGACGGGGAGCTGCAGCCCCGACCCCTGACCGGGGCCGACCCTGGCTGGGGCCACTGGGGCTCGCTTGTATATCATTTGCCTCAGTGACGCCCGTGATGCGCTCCGCCCCCTACCCCGCCCCCTCCACTCACGTCACGATTCGCGCCGGCGAGGACTGGGAATCAGCAGCTCCCGAGCATTGCCACGCGGCGTCGGCGCGAATCGTGATGTGAACGGCCCCCTCCCCTCGGCCCCGCCCCCCCGTCAGGCCCGATATCGCAAAAAGATCAATTCGAACTATCCTGGCGAAGGACCCGACCATATGCAGCTGTGAACGCCGAGGTTGAAAGTACCGTTTTCGGTGGAGCTCTTCATGGGGTCGCGAAACGTGTGAGGATGTACAGGAAGCGGCCTTCGCTGCAGCTCCCTATGGGGCCGCGAAGCGTGTAAGTGGTGTGCCGACATGGGCACGGCAGTGCCATGCGGGCGCAGCAACTGGTAAGTTCGGTGCATGGGTGTGCCGAAACGGGTGTGGTGGTGCGGTGCGGGCGGGAGCCCCCACAGGGCCACGAAGCGTGCGTGGGGCTTTTGCCCGTGACAAACATCCCAACCACACTCCATGAGCATGCAGGGCGCTCGCGATATCCTCGCGCGGGGAGAGGGGTCAGCCTGCTAGGAGCTGACTAAAACAAATTACTCGAGTCGTCGAGGAGGGGTCCCCAGTCGGACGCGAGATCGCCAGGCGCCCAGGCTCGAGAAATGCGGCCCGTGAAGCCGCGGGGCCTTGGGAACTGACCTCTGAGCAGCATCGCCGCTTGCCTTGGTTTCGGGTTACAACAACAACCGGCGAAGTCTTTAGCCTGGCGACCCGTAGTGTGTGAGCAGCACCGTCGGCAGAAGACACAACCCAACCCCGTGCGAATTATTCGGGCGATTCTCCGATCATGGGCGGGAGACGGGGGGACAGGAGGGGCCGCGAGGGCATGAAGCGAGGGAGTGACCGGCACGCATTCTGAGAGATCGGCCCTATGCCCATCTTTGAAAGAGCGGAGACACTTGATACATTGCCATCTCTGGTTGACCCACCGCACATCGTGGGCCACAGGACAGCTCTTGATGGGCCTGAAAACTCTTGTTTTGTTTCAATCACCGAAGATATCCCTGGCTTTCGGCCAGGCTTGAAGCACAGCTATCATAGCTCTAGCCGTCGCAAACAACAGCTCTCGTTCATCGGTGGCCCGAGCAGCATCTACCTGAGAGGAAAGTTCCCCCGCAACTTGCTTGGCAAAAACGTCCGCCCAGGTATTCCCCCTAGTTTTCCAGGAGGCTTGTCTCTCGTCAGATTATTCTAAGTGTGCTTTCACTTAATGGTCAGACGATTCGACGGCTTCCGCGTTTATTATTCTCCTCCAGTGGCCCGCCTGGGCCGTCTTCTTCTGGGCCCCACTGGTCACGTCCTGGGCTCCCCAGACCACGGCAGCGCGGTCTTCGGCTCGATGTGGCCGACCATATACATCAGGACGCGATGTTCGGTGAGGACGGCTGTGTGCGGCAAGCTGACTGGGATACTTCCACGCATACCTCGGATCAAATTTCCCTCGGGATCGGTCTCGATAGCAGCCCGGCCTCCACTCGCCAAGATCTCGCACTTAGGCTCGAGCACTGGACCATCACCGGAAACAACTGCTCAGTCCTGAAACTCAAATGGGTCGACCCTCCCATTCGCGTCGACATAGAGGACCTCATCCTGCTTGGGCTCAGGCACCTCGATGTCAGGTGTCGCAAGCCATAACGAATTATAAAATGGATCATCTTCTGCTGCTAAGATGGCCCCCGCTACAACAGACGGGTCAAGGTCGGAACGCTCCACGTCGCCATGCGGGCACTTCCAGATGCGATGCCATACCGTAACCAAGTCGGGGCAGTAGCGGCACTTCGGCGAGACCTGGAATTCCCACCTGTGTAGTGAGACGCCCGTAGTGTAAGATCTGCAGAACGACTTCCTCGCAACCCCCCTCCCCTGGAGAGGTCCTTGGATTTCACCAACAACTGGATGGGCTCGGTCCAACGCCCCTCAGCCTTGATGTCGCGGGCCCTGGGGCGGTTTTCTAACGCCGGTAATCTAGAAATCGAGTCGTCCAGAAACTTGGCCTGGATGTCCCGCTCGAAGATCTTCTGAACTAGCGTAGGTGGGAGTCGGTGAGCCGAACCTCGCGCCCACCCCTGGAAGTGAAAGGCGCTGGCCCCGCGAATTTCCATCCTGCTTCGACTCGCCGCAAGAGAGCATCTAGGGCGGGGTGCGCCCCGCGCCTCCGCCATCCTTGAGAGACAGGCATGTCCGCAAGCTTCTGCAAGCACGCGTGGCACGCCTTCAAGAGCTGGCCCGCCGAGAGGCCACCCGCTGCCCGAATATCGTTGTCGCATGACCCCCACCATTCCCGAGCGCGCCTAACAGCCGTGTCTGCTGCGTGAACAATGGGGCCCTCCTGGGGGTAGGTGGCCCAGACGAAGCCGATTGAGGCCCCAGGGCTCCAGATGCCCAGCGCCCTCGCCCCCGTGGCCCTCAGTCTTTGCACATCTTTGGCCGGCAGGGCCACAACGTCGCTCCCGGTGGTGATGCTTGGCTTCTGGCCCATCAAGAAAATCTTAGCTTTGGACCATGATATCCCCCTTCATACCTTTGATGTTTGGCACCCGTCGGAGTGCGTCGGCCCATCGGGCCTTGCGTCTTGCTAACTTTCCAGGGCCTCGCTGCCCCGTGGAGATCAGCCCGGGCTTCTCGGGGCCTTTCTTCTTGCGCTACCTGGGGGGGGGGCCACGGAGAAATCCACCCCCGGGGCGACCGCCTCCCCAGCCAGGGTGAACCCATGCGCCCCAGGAACCTCAGGAGCCAAATCCATGACCTGCTGCGATTTCGCGGTGAAGCAGCCCTTCTTCAGAGCGATCGGCCACCCTAGCTTGCAGGAGCACGCCTCGATCAAGTAGCTGGCGACTGCCCCTAGCAGGTTGAGGCGCCCCAGTGGCACCACATGGTGCGAGTCAAACTCCAAGTCATCCACGTGCATGGTAAAACTGGCCCCTGGGATCTCCATCATCCCCTCCGCCATTGGAACCATGTATCCCTTTATCTCAAAAGCCGCCGTGCTGGGCCCCGCTACCATGCCCCTCATCAAGCACAGCTGGGGGGAACGGACTATCCATTGTGAGCGCCCTCGGCCGCGCGTAGCTGTCCAGGGCCAAGCGAAGGCTATGGAGCGGGAACGAACAGGCTCTGCACTCGTCCCAGAGCAGCTCGTGGCTCACGTGCTTGTAGCACTGCGTCAAATCGCATAACATGGCGCTGGCTGCCTCGCCTGTATCATCTGCAAGGGCTGTCCTAACTGCTTGCCGCCAAACCCCGTCGGTCGTGGATCTCCCAGGGCCCATGTTGAAAGCCTTGAGATGCCTGAGCCCCCCCCCCGCCCCCCCCTAGACATTGCTATCCCTGCTCGGAACCTTGGAGACCATCCTGGGGGAACACTGAAAGAAACCAATGGTCTCCTCCCCGACTCAGGTTTCTCAAACAACGGAACCAAGAGGATTCTCAGCTGCGTCGGCCCTTTGCCCAGGGCGACCTGGGGGGAGAGGAGGTTGGACATATCCTGGGGCGCCTCGGGGCACAGGGCTGAAAGTCATGGGGTGGATCCCGTCGGCGGCGATCGCGCGTTTCTTGGCGCCACCGGAAATTATCCTGAGGTCTTCGCCGCCAGGAGCAGCTGGCACCAGTGCAGCAGGCGGAAATTTCAACAACGGCCTGGTCGGCTGTTCAGAAGTCGCCCTCCAGGCCGCGCTCCACATATCCTGCTGCGCCTGAAACCTAGCACTGGAAGAGTTTGCGTCGTCCCCCTCGGCTTTTTTTTCTTTCCAGAATGTCTTTATTGAAATTTGTGGGCAG